GGAGCGGGGCGCTGGGTGAAGCGGTTCTGGAATAAGCTGTCGGGACAGGACGTCTGGGGCCCAGCTGGTTCTGCAGAGCTGCGGAGCCCGTGCCCGGCGCTCGGCATGGAAGGACCCAGGCCTCCTCCCCGGCCTGCCCCCGAGGGGGGTGGGAACAGGAACCAGCACTGCTCAGCCTGTGCCTTGAACTCCCTAGAGGTGCCCGGCAGTGGCAGCCAGATGTGGAGTGGGCCGAGCAGTTTGGGGGAGCGGTCATGTACCCCACCAAGGAGACAGCCCACTGGAAGCCTCCACCCTGGAATGGTGAGTGCCAGGGCCCTGCCCACCTGACTTGTGCTGCTGAGCTCGGTCTTCGCAGGCTGTAGCCGTCGCCCTTCGGCTTCTTTCTCATGCAACTCACCAAACACAGTCACAGTGACCATCGTAGGTGTTTGTCACCTAGAGACAGAAGAGCAGAAGAACATTCCAGGAGAAGGAAATAGTAGGTCCCTACCAAGGATTTTTTTAAAGATGACATTAAATTTCTATATATACATATATATATTAGTTGATTTCAGAGAGGAAGGGAGAGTGAGAGAGAGGAACATCGATGTGAGAGACAATCATGGATCGGCTGCCTCCTGCACACCCCACACTGGGGATGGAGCCCGCAACCTGGGCAAGTGCCCTGACCGGGAATTGAACCGGGACCTCCTGGTTCATGGGTCAACACTCAACCACGGAGCCGTGCGGCCGGACTCCACCAAATTTATATCTTTAGCTTCAACTTTTCCCAGAGGTTCAGTAGACAGTATGTTCCCATCTGCCTGGCTGGGCAAGGTGGCTTTCCCAGTCACACAAAGGAAACCTTCCTGAACACAAACTTTTTTTTTTCTCCCTGAAAACCAGTCTTTCCACTTTGACTTTTTGATTTGGTGCAGTGGCACTGCTTTCTCCTAATCTCAGAATTGACACTGTTTAGTCACCTTGGCTCAGTTTTCTCTTGCCTTCCGTCTGTGCCCAGTAAGTCACCAAGCCCTGCAGCTCTTTCCTCATGTACATTAGGGCACCTCTCCCCTTTGTGTCCAGATGTATTTTGTGTCAGACCTTGGTTGTTTCAGGAGTCTCTTCACTGGGCTCCTGCCTTGACCTGCTATCCTAATCCGGTGTCATGGCCTTCATTGTCCCCAAAGATCCATTTACCATGTCAATCATTCTCATGCTCTAAAACCTTTAAAGGCACTTCCAGTTACTTTTCCTTTTCTTTTTTAAAATATATTTTATTGATTTCGGAGAGGAAGGGAAAGAGAGAGAGATAGAGAAACATCAATGATGAGAGAGAATCATTGGTCAGCTGCCTTGTGCACGCCCCCTACTGGGGCTCAAGCCCACAACTCGGGCATATGCCCTTGACCAGAATCAATCCTGGGACCCTTCAGTCCACAGGCTGATGCTCTATCTACTGAGCCAAACCAGCTAGGGCTCCAGTTACTTTTCAGAAATCTCACAGTAAAAATAGCTGGGTGCTTACATATCCTATGTGTTTTGTATGCATTATCTCGCGTAGTACAGACAACAATCCTCTGAGAGTGATACTAGTATTATCCCAACTTCGAGGACATTATAGTGAAGGGAGATTAAAACTTGACCAAGGACACACAGGTGGAATTGTGCTCAGATCTGTCTGACTCCACAAAGCCCACAGTGAAGAATTTTGCTTTAAAAGTTGGGCTCTGGTATTAAATCTCAATTCTCTATTTACCAGTGAATAAAATACCTCCTTCACAGCACTACTGTTAGGAGTCAGTGAGGCAATAAAAACAGAAGCCACTTAGTGCAGTGATTGGCACATGGCAAATCGCCCATAGTGCTGTTATTAATAGTAGCACTGCCCTACCCCGTTTGGCTCAGTGTATAGACTGTCGGCCTGTGATCTGAAAGGTCCCAGGTTCGATTCCGGTCAAGGGCACATGCCCGGGTTGTGGGCTCAATCCCCAGTGGGGGGATTGCAGGAGGCAGCCGATCAGTGATTCTCTCTCATCATTGATGTTTCCATCTTTCTTTCCCTCTTCCTCTCTGAAATCAATCAAAATATATTTAAACAAAATAGTAGCCAATACTGATCTGCCTCGGGGCAGGTAAGAGTCCCAGAAACACTGTTTACGTCAAGATTGACCCATGTGGATTCCACACCTGGGCAGTCTCTTCTCTCTGCCTCCGAGTCATTTGAACTTAAGAGCCAGCTCAGGTCTTCACAGTGCTTTTCCCTCCCTTCAAATACTTCATGGCTGAGCCACTGAATTGGTAACTCGTCAGTTTGGCCTGTGTTACTAGTTTCTCACAGGTACTTATTTCCTAAATTAAATTGTAACATTCTTTTTTTTTTAAATA